CCCGCCGCCGCCGCCGGCCCCCCAGCCGCCGCCGCTGCCGCCGCAGCCGAACGGGACGTACGCGCAGCGCGCGGCGGCGGGGGCGCTCTCCAGCGACCACCGCGGCGGCGCCGGCTGCACGGGCGCCGCCGCGACCTCGCCCACCGAACGCGCGTCGCCGGCGGCGCGGGCGGCGCCGGGCGCCGACCCTGGGCCCGGGCGGCGGTGCAGCAGCGAAGCGAGGGCGATGTCCATTTGAAGAGCCAAAGCTGTCATCGATTCTGCCGACGGCGGCGCCTGCAAGGCGTCGACAGCAACGGACTGGCGCGGGCCGGCGCCCGCACCGCCCGCAGGCGGCGCTGGGCGCAGCAGGGCCGCGGCGGCCTCGGCGGCGGCGGTTATTTCGCTGGGGCAGAGCGTGGTGGCGCGGGCCGCGGCAAACTGGCGGGCGATGCGCTCGCGGCGGCCCTCACGGCCGCAGGCGGCCTCGTGCTGACGAAGCACGCGGGCCGACAAGCGCGGCTGCTCTTGTGGCTGCACCTGCGGCTGCGCCTGCTGCTGCTGCTGCACATGCTGCTGCTGCTGCACATGCTGCTGCAGTGGCGACTGTTGCTGCAGGCAATGCTGCTGCGGTGACTGCTGCTGCTGCTGCTGCTGCTGCTCACTCGGGTGCTGCCGCCTCTGCCAATGCTCGGGCCGTGCATCTTGGTCGGGGTTTGGGGCCCTGATGCCACTGCTGCTGCTGCTGCTGCTACTGCTGCTGCTACTGCCGCCGCCGTTCCTGCCGCGAATGCCGAGGGCGCTGCTCAACTGGGTCATGAGGCCGCTGCCAACAAGGGCGGCCGCGAGCACCAGCCCCCAGCCCGCCAGAATGACCGGGCCTCCCCCCGCCGCGGCAGCGGCAGATGCCGCCGCGGCCACCACCGCCGCCAGCGCGGCGAGCGTGAAGGCCATGGCGTTGGTGATACTGTCTTGGGCCGCCAACATGGGTCCGGAGGGGGCCTGAAAGCGGCCGCGTCAGGCGGGGCCTGGATGGGTGAGGGGGTGGGAAGCCGCGACATCAGAGTGATGCAGCCCGGTCGCGCATATAGAGCCGCAGCCCCTAGACAAGAAAAGACATTTCAAGGCCTTACCGGCTACTAGGAGCACGCGTGATGGCACCGGGGACGTCAGCGGTGCGTCGTTGACGCGCGTAATAGAGATGGTCCGCGGCAAACCAGGCCTATTTATGTCATCGAAACGGCTACATAAACATCTTATTGCACGCGAAAGATGTTGTTCTGGGCCGCTCATACCATAGGGCGCGCTTCTTCAACCGCTGCATCGCCCAGTTATGCCTCATGGGCTGCCGCTCGCTGACGTTGTCGGAGAAACTGCGCCAGATTCTCAGGGGCGGTGCTGTGCACCGTCAGACCTGAAACGCCACGCATAAACGTGCGATGCATGTCAAATTCTGTACATTACCGGTACCCCGGGCACCCCCGTCAGGGACGCTGCCACAGCACCCTGCAGATGCGCTGCTACGGACTGCCAGCAAGCAACAGCAACACGCGCATGCCCCACCAGCCCAGCGCCTGCGCCCTGCCTCCCAACTCCCATCCGGCCGCAACGCAGCCGCAGCCCCCTGCTGTTGTCCGTGCAGCAGCAGGCGGCCGGGCCCCGCTCCCTTGAGCCAAGACGCTCCTGGCGGGGGCAGGCCGGCTTTATCCTGCTGCCAGAATCTGACAGTATTGCTGTGATGAATCACGCAGACGCTTGCCGCCGCTTGAGCTTCGACGGTCCAAAGCTGACAGGACGGCTCACCCTCTCCCCACTTCTCTCTGTGCTCCATGCTGTGCGACGAGCTCGGCTCGTCGGCCGTGGGCCTGCGGTGGAGGCCCCACCGCATGCGCAGGCCGACCCCTGCGCAGGCCGACCCCTCACTCATGCCACCAAACTCCCCCCCCCTCGCCGCCGCGCCGATCGCGCCCACCCTCCAACCTCGGGCGTGCCAGCTCCGCCGGCCCCGCGGGCCAGCCCTCCCTCCTCACCTCTTCGCCTCCGCCACGGCCTCTGAAAGGTGCCATACCGCTGGATTACATGTTGCGCCGCTGCGGCCCACGCCCCCCCTCCCTCATGTCGTCCCCTTACCCGCTTGCGCCCGACATTCCAAAAAGCCGCCCATTTGCACCCCCACACCCTTCCTTGCCGCCAACCCTTCATGGGATCGCGCCCCGTTGCCCTGAATCCGGGCCCACACCCAGCCCCCCCCCCCACCCGCAGCCATGCTTGCCCTGCGGACGCAGGCACTGCCTCAAATGCGACCCCAAGTGATACCCCCCTGCGCCTGGTTCAAAGGTGACCGGCGCCCAAACAAACAAAGCCGGACGGGCGGCGGCGCTGTTGAGACGGCACTTGGTTTGATTCCCCATCGCCTCGCCGTCCGGCGCGTGTTTCGTGGCGATGGTGCGCTCATGGCCTCGGTGCCGGGATAACATTACTGGTTTACAAGCAGTTGAATTTGGGCGCTGCAAGCGACACGGCCGACGCGCTGACGATGCCAGGGGTGACGGCAAATTTGCAGCGCTGAACGTCGGCGCTGGCGGCTGCTGCTGTCGGCACGCCTGCGCTCGGACAAGGCGGCCGGGTCAAAGCAGCGCCTGGGCCGCTCCCGGCAGCCCGCGCGGCGCTGGGGACCGCCGGGGCACAAGGGCGGGCTCTTGCTGAGCGTGGCCGGCTGCATTTTGCGGGGTGTGTCGCCGGCTTCGGTCGATTCCCTGCGGCTTTGGGTGGGGGTTTTATGAGTAACATCCACGGAAACGTCTTACTGGCAATTCGGCCGTGTCAGTGAAGGAGGCTTGAGCGGGGATTGGCAGGACAGATGGACCATTTCGTTCCATCCGCAACTGAACCTGCACCACACCAGCCGACGCCAGCCCAACACACAGCTGGGGCTGCGCCCAGGAGCCAGGAGTCGTGGCACCCCTGGCACAGCCGCCGCGCCGCTGGCGCCCACCCCGCATCAACCCCACAGCCGCAGGCGCCCCTGCTTGCGAACGCCCCGCGCGTGTGCCGCCGCAGCCGCCAGGCTCGTCGCCGCTTCGCCGCGCTGGGCCGGGTTCCTCGCACCCTCCTCGCGCCCAGGCCGGGACCGCCAGCGCCCGACGGCGGCCGCCCCTCATCCCCCTCCCATTCTTTCAGCCGGAAATCTCATGTGCATGTTACATGTTTGGGAACGGCGGGGCGGCGGAGAAATGCTGCGCAGGCCCCGTTGATGCAGGCCGCGGACGGCGCGAGGCGTCCCGCGGTTATAGGGTTGTTTTGATTGGGGTGGCGGAGGAGAGGGGGGGGGGCGGGCGTGCCGCGGCCGACAACAAGTGCTTCTCCAAAAAGAGCCGCAAAGACAAAAATCAACGGCGCGAGGATAAAGGAAAGCCCGAGATCCCCCTTGAACAGCTGAAGCGACGCAAGGAAGCACAGATTGTGGAAAGCGACCCAACACGCCGCGACGCCGCCGCTCGGCGACGCCTCCGCTCGGCGGCGCCTCCGCTCGGCAGCGCCTCCGCTCAGCGCGCCTCCGCTCAAAGCGAACGGTCAAGCAGAACCAGCGCCCCTCGCTCTCTCTCTCCCTCGCATGAGCGCGCCGTTCGCCTCGCCCCGTCCCGCGTGCGGCGCACATGGGGGGAGGGGGTGCACCGCGCGCGAGGCTCGACCGCGGGCTCGCACGTGGCGAGGCGGGGCCATGGCAAGTGCGGGCGACCAGGCTGCCTTGCGACCCGGCCGCACGCTCAGGAGCGTCTGCGGGGGCAAGGCGCACGTGCGGCAGCGGGGCAACTTCCACGCGACTGGGCGCGTGGGCGGTGCCCGCCAGCTGGCGGGAGCGGCTCACACGCGGACCCGTTTGGCGTCCCCGCCGCCGCCGTCCCCTGCCCAGGCAGCGGCGTGCGCCTGCTGCTGCTGCTGCTGCTGCTGCTGCTGCTTTTGCTGCTGCTGCTGCTCGCCGGACCCGGCGCCGCCGTCGAGCCCGCGCTTGCGGCTGGCCTGCGCGGTGCCCGCGGCCATGTGGTGGCTCGACGCGCTGTCGTGCGCCGTCGGCGGGCTGTCTACAGCCGGCGCCCCGCCCGCCTCGGCGGCCGCGTCGGCACCCTTGCCGGCGGCGCACCGCTCCCCCGGCGCGCGCTTCAGCGCCCACGCGCGGAGCTCGCCGTCGGTCAGCGCCGCCCCGGGTGCGTCCGGGGAGAAGCAGAGCTTGAGCTGCTCGCAGACGGCTGAGAGCACATCAGAGCAGGGGGGCGTTTGCAGGGAGGGGACGGCCGCAAGGGGCCGGGGTCGAGCCACGGCAGAGGCAGCGGGCGCACGGCCCGCCCCGGGGCCCTCCCCGCCTTGGTGCACACGCGCCAGCAAGCCGCTGCGAACAGCGCGGCTCGCGCGGCGGCAGTGCGCCTCCGCTGTGCACGTTGCAAATGCTCCACAAAGCGACGGGCCACCACAAAGCCGCGCGCGCACGAAAAAGCAAACTCGCTCCCTCCCCCTCGACACTCTTGAACTCTGTCTCTATCTCACTCACTCACACACATATACAAACCCACTCGCACGCAACCTCAAGCCACTCGCGGCCACCCACCCATAAGCGCATCCACTTTGACTCCGAAGTGCTCCACAAAGCTCGTGCCCGGCGGCAGCGGGAGCGCGTAGCCGCTGAGCACGCATATAATCAGCAGCGCCGCCTTGCCCACGTCCTCAGCGGTGTGCATCACGCAAAGCACCGCCGTGTCGAGCGTCAGGTAGCTGCTCGGGAGCCGCGCGGGCGTGCATCGATATGGGGCGCCGCGGGAGGCCAAGGGGAGGAAGCGTGGGTGGCGCCCTGCGCTGCGGCACGCGGCGTCCCTGGCTCCCTCACTCCCGCCCATGTGGTGCTGTTTGGGGCGCCCAGATCCCCTGGCGCCGCTTGAATCCCCTCACAAAGTCTGTCCTTGTCACTCACTGATGCGCTCTGCCTCTTCCTTCGCTGCTCAACACGTACACGCGTACACACACATACACAGTGACACACACGCACAGACGTACGACACACCCTCTCTCCCTGCCATGTGCACACCCTGCGCAACAC